AATCTTGTTTCTCATACAATTTAATTGTTATTTGGCCGTTATCGTCTACAATCAGTAAAACATTAAAATATAAAACAGATGTTGCAGATTTTGTGGTGTATTTTTATTTCAAGTTAAGTGGGATATATCGAGTTGAATGTCGAATTGAAGGTCATAGCAAGTGTTTTCTTCTTCTGAAGTAGAAGTTTTTCTTAAAAATAAATTCTGCTTCATGGAAATGTAGACACAAGTCGGCTCATTAATTAGCACAATTAATTCCCATCGAAATCTCAACAGTTTGTTGGAAGACCTGGTTTTCGAAGATCACATAAATGTTGCCAATAGGAACTCTAGCATCCTTTTAATATCAACTTCAGAGCACTTATGTATAGAGAGTAATTTTTACAAAGCAATTTTGTTGATTATTAAATAATAAAATTGAATTCCATTTTATTGAAGAAGCAGTTGTCTGTAGTATCATAAAGCCTAGTTTTTAATTTATCATGAAGAATGTTTTTATAAAGTATAGAAAAGTCGCACTGTTTTGATGTTGTTGACTTTAGAAAAAAATTTCTAAATGTTCTTTGGGGTTTTCAGAATCCACTTTTGATTTACACCATTTCTAGTTCGTATTTATCTTTATATTAAGTTTTCTTTAATATATTTTTCTGTGTAGTGGCAGGAAAGAGTTCACCATATAGTATTATTGATTAGACAATAAAAATCTTTTTCTCTTTTTTGTGAAAATGGTAAGAAAATTGTCTTATTCAGAGGAAAGGTAACCATCCACTATGTCTAGAAATAGAGTTGAATAGGCCTTGTAAGTTGAATTTTAATCTTTAAGACTAACATTTATTGAATACAAATTATAAGAAGAGTGATATTGTGTTTAATGATTAAAAAACCGGAATACTTTCGATACAGCATAATATTTTCTAATTTTTAGAGTACTTAATCGTCGAATTTCTCAGAATGAACATATATAACAATAAAAAAGCATTCTAAAATAATCATTTACCTTCTTATTCCTAAGAAATATTTTATTTTCACAACACTCCTTCAATTGAAGATTTTGAAAATTTAGATATTCATAAAAATCGTAAATATGAGGGACAGGATACAACACAGATAAAACAACATATGCTTGAAACATATTTGTAACAAATACATTGTAAAATCAAACTATCAATGTTCGTCATGTCACTTCTCTTTTTTCCACATGAACATACATTTTAAAACTAGTTACTCTACGTCGATCTTGTACTTGTGTATTCAAAATTAATTCCCTTTTTCTCTCTGTATGAAAACTGACGCTTTATTATTTGATATGTTGGAGAAGATTTTCATTGATGATTTCATAATGCCCTTCATCGTCCTCTAGTGGCTTGTGATAGTCATCGTGATCCTGAGAACTATTTGACGTATTTGCTACAACGTCCAAGTACCCCTCACCACTGTGTGGACTACTCTGATCCGTCCCCTTGTAACTACAGACAGACCCTGATGCTGAGGTCAATGATGCATCCGATGAATCTAACCTTTAATCATAAAGCAGTTACTTGTATATGGTAACTTTTTAAGTCAATATACGATAATCAAAATCATTTAATAATTCATAACACGTTTAAAAATTTTTGACGCTATTTTTTCTTGTCAAACTTACTTGCTTGAAAACAATGAAATTATCTCATCAACATGTGGACGACTGGTTCTGTCAAGGTCCCAACATTTCAACATAACTTCCTCATACAACCAACTTGGACATAGTTCCGGTTTTTCAGGAACATGTCCATCAATTAAATGTTCCAACAGCTGCTTGTTAAAATTTAACATAGTGTGATAGACTTAAAAAAATATATCTATAGATGATTAACGTTAGAAACAATATGGTACCTTAAAATAATTTAATCCCAAAATATTTTAAAAAATTGTTAAGTAATAACACTTTGTGAGGAAAGTACATTACTTTGTATTTCAAGAAGTTTTTTTGGTAACATTGATAAGTTGTTGATATTTTATTGAAGAAAAAGGCGTGGGGTGGTAAACGTAATAAAATCCACATCAGCAAAGCAAATGTGGTGTCCTTATTTTTGTGTATTTGAATTATTTAACTGTTACATTTACCTTGGATTTGTGTTTGTTCCCAAATGGCACACAGTCTAGACGATCCCGGCCAGAGAGAACGGAGAAAACTTCATAGAAAAGCATTGCCATCGTGTAAACGTCACTGCCACACGATTGTTCGTTGTGTCCGATTACTTCCTTAGGAAGCCTTAAAATATTTATGAATGCATGCTTTATTTAATTTCAAATTGCCAAATTGTTTGCCTTTTGATTAAGTTGATTTGCTATTCAATGATATTGATCCATGTAAAAGAAAAAGGAAACAGTTATTTAGTTTTTCAATTCAGATTTTAATCAATCTTAGGAGAGTAAAATGAGGTCATTTTACCAATATAGCGTGTCTTGTAGATCCTGATTGACTTTAATGCTATCTTCTTTAGATAAAACAATATAAAAAAATAAAATTGTATGGGGGGAAAATGTGGTACCTTACCGCTTAAAATAATTTGAAGCTATCCAACACACATGTACTTTTCAAGGCGTCCTGAAAGAAACTGAAAAGCGACGCTCTCTGAACGACCGTGTCCAAATTTTTCCCGCGCACGATTTTCATTGGGCATTACCGAATGTTTTCATTTCCAAGAATCACTTGCATTTGCCTTTCCTCTAATTTGGCAACGCCAAAAACTTCCAAGGATAATGCAAGCGCGATAACTCTTTCTATACGCAGTGCATTCCAATGTACATAAAATATTTTAAGTAAAACTTAAAATTCATCTATGATAAATTTAAGCAATATACATGTATCATGTAACATTTTCTTTTCTTTAATTGTATTTTTCATTTCGTGCAAACTTTTTCTCACTCATATATATTTCGTTCTTTATGAGAACAATGTTTAGTAAACAAATAATAACCAAAAATAAATGCGGAAACTTGAATTATTTGAAAATTTTAATATGATATTACAAGAAAGTTATAAATTTGGACATTTTCCAAATTTCCTGACCTTAATTTATTTTCGTCAATTTTCATGAATACAGAACTTTAGAATACATAACAAGCTACAAGTTGGCTATCTACAAGAACTGTTCTTAATGTACTTGTTTCAAATACTCCCAGTTTTTGAAATCTTGTATAAAATACGAAAAACTTCAACCAAACTTTGAAGAAATTCGGAAACTTTTTCTTTTACTATTCCCTTGTTACCTCTATGAGTGCTGTGAGTCAAAATCAATGCTTTTTCCTAAGCAACATCTACGCTTCTACATGTCAAATAGCATATGTTTGATATCCGATAATTCCTTACAATATATATCTTGTTCTATTAGGAAAACTCTGAACAGACTCATAGCTATTTCCAAAGTCTACTTACGTGGCGTATGATCAACTGTCTGGACTATAAAAAAATTAACGCATATCATGATTTTCCCCCAGGTAAATGTACCTCTTTCAAGTAACATCTTCAAATTTTGAATGATAGCATTTGCTTACTCAATTTACCACACATAATATACATTTAATTATGAATCATTTAGCATTAATGAATGTCATAAAATCAGTACGATAAGAATTTAAATGATTATTTTTAATAACTGTATAACCACCGTGGAGTAAAAAATTTGCCACTGCAATTCCTTCGCTATTTTCTATCACACATGTATAACATCCAGCGTCGTCGAAAGTTGATTTGTAAATGTGTAATTTCTTTTTATCGTTTGAGAGTTCATATGTAGATTCTAAAAGAGACATTGAAAAGGTCAAATACATATAAATGTCATCATTTCCATTGATATCTGTTCGAGTCAGTCCGATAGATTTTACTCGACGGTTTGTAAGGTTAAAGGATATGGATTAAATGTGTCTTATTTGTTGACCAAATGCTTAAACATCAACAAATGAAGGAAAAATGAAATAATTTATTAATGACTAATTGAAAAAGTAATACAAAAATTTCTCATTTGTATTACTTTTCTCTAATTTTTGCATAACGTAAATTTTGCATAGTAAACCAGAAAAGGTAAATTTTAAATGTGAATTGCAACATATAACATATTTTTATTGGCAGAATGAAAAGACAATCACGTGAATAAGCTTTGTACAGTACTGAGTACTCAAAATAAAACTCTAAAAGCAAATGTAATGATTAACAAATAATTTATTCCATATGTTATGAGCCTTAAGGTAGAAAAAAAACTTCACTCGTGTAAAATTTCAAATTTATTTGAGAATGTAGGGTTATATAATTCCAATTTTTTTTTTTTGCAATATTTTTTTAAATTTTTCGTATGATGGTAATTAAGGATTAGTGATACGAAATACCGATATAATTTGATAATCTGAAAACCATTTTTAAAATTATTCTAGATAATTATAAAATTAAATTAATGTTCTGCTGCATCTTAAAACTATTTTAGAGTAAGAAACATATTTAATAAATGTATTTTCTTAAAGAAAGAAAATTCTGTCTTTGGTTATGAGTAGACAAGTCCATGTAACTCAAAAATATATTTAAGAAAGCCATAACACCCAAGAATTACATGTAGATATTCCTAAGCAAGTTATTAATGTTTCCCCAATAAATCCAATAACTTTGTTATCTGTTAATCTCAATTCTCATATTACCTTTCAGTGAAATCATGGGCTCAATAATTGAACCTTGATTTAATTCTTTTCCATTTTTCATCCACATGATTACAACAGGTTCCAATTCATCTGGTGCACTTATCGCATCGCACAATAGTTCCTTATTCTTGCTAATTGTAAATTTGACAATTTTCATCATAAAACGGTTGTGAACGCTACGAAATAATGGATGAGCTATCGAGAGAAATAAAACGAGAAATCACATGTACACATATACATATATATCTTCAAACCTATGTTTTCAAATTTATTCCATAAATGACACATAAATCAGCTTTTACTTACATGTGACATTAAGATATGGGTTTTGTATGATGCCATTAGAGACACATTTATAAACTCCATCATCTTTGAATGTTGTATTCCTTAACTGAAGCTCTCTTCCACTCTTACGTATGCTATATTTATGATTCTCGACAATTTGAGATCCATTCTTGGTACTGCCATGTTACTTTCGGAACAGGACTATGAAAATATACACAGCTACTACGTTTGATCATTAATGTAAATGACAATAAAACAAACATTCCGAAGTTTTTTGTGTGCGAAAATATAGTTATTTCTAAAACAATAAATTGGACGTACATTCTTTAAACTTAAAATTTGCCGGAAATCACTTTGCTAGTATTTTCCCTTTTTAGTCAAATTTATTCTGAAAATAGTAAACATTTCACGGGAAAAGGGAAACTAAGTTAATCAAATGCAGTTTGCCGACCTTTTAAATCAGCCATATATGGATGAAGAGCAATGTATGACCAAGAGGAATATTGCATCTATATAAACATGCGTGGAAAAATGCATGATACATTTTAAAACTAATCTGATTCATATTTTTCTCTATTATACCACATCTTCAAAAATATGCAAAATTTACGGACCACATCACTTAAAGAATTTTTGTCAATATTAGAAATGTTGAATAGTTACTTTCCAGAAAAAATACACTGCAGGGTGGCATTCTCTCCAACAAAAGCTTTATAACCACTTTGATAAACAGCACGAGGAGGAACAAAACTGTCAGCAGAATCTATAAGATTAATGGTTATATTTATATCCGTTAGTATTAATTTATTTTATTTTGAATGAACCGTAAGTTAAATAGAAGTAAAGAAGCAAACGTGAATCTTACCTGAACGCGAGAGGTTATTATGCCAAATAAAACTAAATTATTTATCAATATACTGTACGCTCTATTTATTTAAAAGCAATAGAACGAGCACATGAAATACATAGAATATTAACGATGGTAGCTTTCTTTAGTTTTAATAATTTTACTAGATGTAAATTTATTTATTTTTTGTAAACGTTTGAAAGGATCAGTGGCTATGACATGACCTACTCAGATAGCAAAATAATTCTAACTCGCAATTTATACCTTTCATATGTAGACATTTGATATGTAAGCAACGAAATTGAATTCACTACATTTCTACGGTATTCACGAATGGCGTAAGATGTCTTTCATATACTTAACTCATTTCCCAAGCACTATTCGTCAGTTACTTCATTGTATACAAACAACTCGCAAATTCCAATAATTGAGAATTTCTGACTTTTGAGACTAGTGTGTACTCATACGAAAGGCAATGTTAATAAATGAACATTTTTTATCATTCTTTAAATTTTCTAAAATTTTGACTATTTCTAAATATTTCGTGATGGACACTAGAAATTACATGCGTTTGCGCTGAACATGCTTGGTAAAAAGTCATGCTTAGAGCGTTTCCTAATATCAAGAACTTAGTCATTCCTTTGTTCAACATTCCAAATTGTCAACTATTTTGAAATTGTTCTAAAGCTAGAAATATTCGAGAGCAACTAACTTCAATCTCCGGGTATAAATTCCAGCACCGTATACAAATATAAATATATCAAGGCACAATAAAACCAAAACACAATTGTTATCAAGGTCAAATACTCACTTTTAGCACATTTTGTTAATAATAGTTTCTCAGGCACTAGGTTAAAAACTAGGTTAAAAATGAAACTACAGTATGTTATCATATGGTAGTTTCCAGTGAAAATTAAAAAAAAAACATACTTGTAATTCTCTTGGAAATGAATTGCTTAATACGAAAGTTCAGCTCTTTAGCCCTTCAGGCTTTCTTGAAGTATTTGATAGTAACCAGCCAAGTTCAAACCTTTCATGGTTAGAATAACTGATACAAATCACTAATAACTCACCCTTTACATCGAGGTTCAATAAGTTGCCTTTCCGGAATATTCGTTCATTTTCATTCCACACGCCACAGTAATAATTCTTTGCTCCGTAAGATTGGTTGATGTTTAGAAAATGAAGGTTTCCTGATGGCAGTTATTTAACAAAAAAAGAATAATAATTAAGAAAGAATTATAATCAATTAAGGAGGAAATAATAATAAAAAAAAAGAATGGAAAGAAAAAATAAGAAATTGCGATAACACAGCATTGAAACTACTAAAACTACTACTAAGAAGAAGGGATCTTCCTTAAAGAATGCATATATGTTTCATTTATATTTCATATTGATGAGTCTTTCTGACTTGAAAAGTCCATCGATATTTCAAAGTTTTTGTTACCCTCTCTATCTAACTCCATGTTTTCTTTTATATCCACATTATTTGAAGTTCCAGATCCAATTTTCCATTCTATTCGACAATTATTTTTTGGTACACAGAAGGGTTTGTCAGAACATGAAAGTTTGCAGTAATGAAACTCTTGACATGTGTGGTCTCTTTCTTTAAAAATTGGAAATGAATCAATTCCTACCAAAAAGATATATCATTATACATGTAAATGAAAATAAGCCTTTGTAATGTGCTTTTTATTTCTTTACATAAATCTTTATTGCTATAATCTATGTAAATTAAATGTATACATGTATTTCAAGAAGACTGAAATAAGTTGATTTTTCTCCCAATGTGAGTCATGAATATTACCTAGTGGATAATCTAAATATTTTATTGAAAGATTCATGTACTGCCTTAAAAACTGAACAAAATGAATAATTGAGAATTTATTTTACATTTTGAAACTAGCGCTTTAAATTAAAAGAAATGGGTTATGATTTTTTATTCAAGAACAAGAGGCATATGGTCCACAAAGCTCATCTGGGTCAATATGGCTTTGCTGTTCTTCATCAGCAGATTTTTTTCTATCACATATTCCTATGTAAAACTTGGTCCCTGTTACCCCCAGCCTACCCCGAGATGTCATAAACAAACTTGAATCTACACTATCTGAGAATGCTTCTATATTCATATGACTAATAATTGTTCTACTATTCTTGAGAAGATTTGTTTGTTTGTTTGTTTGTATGTTGTTTAACGTCCCTCTCGAGAATTTTTCACTCATATGGAGACGCCACCACTTGCCGGTGGAGAGCTGCAAATTTTGTCCTATACTCGGCACTTACGGCCATTGAGCAGTGAGGGATCTTTTTCGTCCCAGCACCTACTGCGACAAGGGACCTCGGTTTATACGGTCTCATCCGAAGGACCGGTCTCCACATCCCACAGTGGGATTCGAACCCGCGACGTAAGGATCAACTCCTTACTCTGCGACTCTAGAGCGAACGCTCTAACCACTGCGCCAAGCGGGCGACTTCTTGAGAAGATTTTCACAGATGTAACCCCGCCCTACCCTTGGGGTCATGATTAGAACAAACTTGAATCGACACTACCTGAAGATACTACCATATCAATAAGACCCATTGGGCTTTGTTGTTCTTGAAAATATTTTTGAAGTGTTTCTCCTTCATATCCCTATCTTAAACTCTGATAGCCTATTATGGCAAACCCTATCCCCGGCGGTCATGATTTTAACAAACTAAATGTGCACCAACTGAAGATGCTTCCATATCAATATGATTAATCATGACTTTGCTGTTCTTGAGAGGATTTTCCCCTTATATTCCTATGTAAAACTTTAATCCCCCATTGTGCCCCCATGATTTCAACAAATTTCAATTTATACTACGTAATGAAGATTTCACATAAGTTTCAACCTTTCTGGCCCAGTGGTTCTTGAGAAGAAGATAATTAAAAGATGCCACCAATTTTTCATTCATTCTTAATTTTCTCTCCTTGAAAGAGGGCATGGTCCTTTATTTAATAATAATAATAATAATAATAATGCTTTATTTAGAGAAGGTAACCCGATTAGTACAAGGTACTATTCTTCCCCGGGGCCTTCTAAATTTCAAACAACATATTACATAAAATGATACAATCAAAGATAAAACATGTAATGATGAGTTCATTAATTCATGAATAATTAAATGTAATGTTCAACTTAATGAAATATAGGCTCAAAATAAATAAGTCAATATTTATAATTCAGGAGACATAGTTTAAAAACAATAGTAATAATCATACAACATGTACAAAGGAAATATACAAACATATATTTACAGACGTTGGCTAATTATTATATTTTTTCCACATTTCTTCTAAAAATGTGTAAAGATGGTGACAATTTTACATTTAATGGTAGGTTATTCCATAAATGTACACCTGAATATTGAATTGAATTTGTAAATGAAATATATGGAGATAACGAACAGTATTCAAGCTCAAAAGTCCATTAATCAATACAAAATAGGAGCAGAGCAAACACGGACCTCCAAACATCAGAGGTGGGATCAGGTGCCATGGAGGAGTGAGCATCCCCTGCCGACCGGTCACACCCGCCGTGTGCTCCTTGTCATGATCGGGAAATAACGGAAAAATCCGTCGACAATTCAGTGTGTAAATAATGGCCTAACAATTAGAGTGAAAAACGTCAGTCAGCATTTGACTCAATGACTTACGAAATGATGACTTTAAACGAGACAGCTGATATTCTTGTTTCATCAACTTATTTGTCAATAATTTACCTCGTTTTAGAAATTTTGCATGCTCTTGCGTATCGAATCAACTGAGAGATATATACCCCGTATGCAGGTGATGAAGGTATATTGCTGCAAAAATAGAATTGTTCGATGCATAAATAGAATTGTTCGATGTTTTGGTAAACGAAGATTATAATTTAATTCTGAACGCAGGGAATATGAATCATGGCTATGAAAAACAAAAAGGTCCTGGAGGTATTCAGGGCTCATACCATAAAAGGTTTTGTACAATAAAATACACTTATGTAACGTGACTAATTCAAACACATTTAGCCATCCCAGTTTTTCAAACAATGGTTTTGATGGTTCGTCAGGCGCTGCATCAAGAATAATTCTAGCAGCCTGTTTCTGAAGTTTAAGGACTCTTTCAATGTTAGTTTTATATGCATTACCCCAAACCGTAAGACAATAGTTTATAGAAGGCAAAATGTATGCATTAAAGAAAAGTTTTCTGGTACTTAATGGAAGAAATTTCTTAATTTTACGAAGTGTAAATAACTTGTATGATAAGGATTTACAAACTGTATCTACATGATAATTATACTGAAGAGTTTGATCTATCTGAACACCTAAGAGTTTTTTCAACTTCAACATTTTCCAGTTTTTCTCCAGAAATTTCTGTATGAAGTTCTGGAATATCTAACTTTGACCTCTTTTGTTGTGTACACATAAGCATAGATTTTGATTTGTTCGTGTTCAAAATCATTTGGTTCTGTATACACCAATTTTCAATTTCGCATAAATCATAATTTAAATATGTTTCAATATTATGTACATTGCTATCAGATAATTGCAGAGTTGCATCATCTGCAAACATATCAATATTACAGTGATTAACACATAAAGGAAGGTCATTTATATACAATAAAAATAGTAGTGGTCCTAAAATAGATCCCTGGGGCACCCCTGCTGTGATAGGTAAAATATCGGAAGAACATGCGCCAATTTTAACACTCTAGGTCCTTTCATCTAAACAAGACTGAAACCACTTAATTGCAAGTGGATCAAAGTTATAGTGTCTTAATTTCTCAATTAAGATATCATGGCTGACTAAATCAAATACTTTACTGAAATCTAGAAATGCTATTCCAATGAGGTTTCCTTGCTCCATTGCATGCAACCAGCTGTCAGTAAGTTTGGTTAGTGCCGTTTGGCAAGAATGGAATTCCCTAAAACCAGACTGAACAAACTAGTATCCCCGTCACCTTGATATGGTTTGTGGCAAGTTTGTTTTAAATTAGTCCAGTGGTTCTTGAGAAGTTGAAAATGTGAAAAGTTTTTAAACAGAAGGACGGCTGATAGACAAAATGTGATCAGAAAAGTTTACTTGAGCTTTTAGCTCAGGTAAGCTAAAACGAAAATGTAAACTTGTCTCTATTTTAAATTTCTTTCCTGTTAATACCTGTAATGTTTGATGATCAAATGTTAAAATATGATAAAATTAGCTTAAGATATTGACATAAAATTTTCATGAATAACTGTATTTACTGACTTACGAATCGAAACACTCACTTGTTTCCGATATGTTGAAAAATGCAGAAATGGAAGCCCCAAACTCATTTTTTGCCAGACAATAATACATTCCGAAATCTTCATTCGAGAGATTTGTGAAGATAATTTCACCTGTATCCCAGTCATAGGTGACTCGCTGGTTGTCTTCAAGTTTCATAAAATTTTTATACCATTCATACCTTAAAAATTGCAAGAAACGTATGGTAGAATGTAGAAAAGATTATTAGATATTTGAAAAAATAAAATGTGTTCTTTACTAATCTCAAGTTCTTGTGATCAAAGGGATTATCAAACTACGGGTCCTTACGTGATATTTCCGTTTTCCGCCTGACATTGGAGAGTTAATGAAGTGGAATGGGCTGCGGGAAAGAAATATTCCGTTTCAAACTCTGACGTTATCATAGGAGGCAGACCAGCATGTCCAGCTCCTTGAGGGAATAAATTTGGGATAAATGCAGAGCATTTCTTTTTAAATCAACCATGTTTTGCAATATCATTTAATTAGTTCTACGTATTAGGAAAGAAACAACATGTATTTACCTTTACGGAAATGTGTGATGCCTTTACCACATAGAAGAACTATGATAATCGCAATATTTTCCATGGCTGTTTTTGTCTTTAGATCATGATGTAGATATGATTTTCCATTTCCAAACAAAATCCACACTCTATAAAATATGATTTCATCACAGGAATCACAAGATCAATAATTATTATCATGACGGAAAATACACTACGAACTCTTTATAAATACTACATGTATCTGATTAAGTGGGTTGAAATAAATAAAAAAATCGACAATCATATTGAATCTTTTGTATTTACGGCCCTAGCCGATACAAAGGTCATGTGCGTTTGTTCAAAACATGTGCTAGATATATATTCCAGTTATTTCTTTTTTTTCACGAATGATTGATTGATTGTATTTTGTTTTACGTCCCATTCGAGAATTTTTCACTCATATAGAGATGTCACAATATACCGGTGAAGGGTTTCAAATTTTGACCTTTACTCGGCACTCAGGGCCATTGAGCAGTTAGGGATCTTTATCGTGCCAACGACTGCCGTGACACGGGACCTCGGTTTTTAAGGTCTCATCCGAAGGACCTGCAACTTTCACTTCAAAGTGCCGAGTGCATGTCGAAGGAACAGTTGCTACCCATTTTTTATCGACTTAGGTCAGTCGCGGCCGAGATTCGAACTGACGACCTCCCGATCACGGGGCGAGCGCTCTACCGACTGAGCTACCGTGAACGGTTTTTTACGATGTTATGAAAATTCTTCAATTAAAACCAATTATCATTCTATTATAGAGTCATTTAATAATATTTAAATTTAAGAACATTAAAATTTTAATTTGGAAAAAAATAAAATGTTGAAAAAAATGAATTGTGATTGATTTTAGATAGAAAACCCCCTTTTGTTTTCTTCCTCTTGTCACCAAGTTCTATAATGACATCACTAAGGAAATATTAGAAAAACGCGGAAAAAAAACTTGTTTAGGGATTTAACCTAGCACGTAAAACACAGGGAGTACCATACAGAATGATTATATTCTTTGTACTGCATACCTTGCAAGAAGGAGCTAATCGTGAGGCAGATAAAACCAGTTATTTCATATTTTGATAAATTTCTCAGTAGAATATATAGAGAGTTCCAAAGTATTTAAAGAGTCATGTCAGCCCACACTTTAAATGACCGAGGACTATTTTTGTGTTTGTATATCAAACTACAACTAAGACACCACTTAGAAAACCACATCTTAAGGATAAATAACACAAACATTTTCACAAATCAGTAATATTTCTCATAGATTTATATTCAAATAGGTAACCAAATAATATTTTCCAGGTAAAGTGGAAGAATTTTGTAAGATTTTGTCACAATGATAAAAATGTGTACAAAATTTTGTATAGAATTAGATAGAAAACAATAAACAGTAGCGTATCTAAACACACACAAAAAAAATTCCGATTTATTTATATTTTATGAATCATTTATTATTTATGTCCTTTCTAATCAAAATCAGTCAAAAATATATATCAATCCCTGCATCAAATTTTTGTGTGATGTATCCACTGTCAACTTTTCTTCTTCTTGTTTATCTCTCTGTTTTCCAACTTTTAGACCGTTACGGTAGCTCAGTTGGTAGAGCGCTCGCTCCGTGTTTGGGAGGTCGTGAGTTCGACTCTCAACCGCGACTGACCTATGTCGATTAGTAGGAACTGTTCCTTCGCCAAGCGCTCGTCACTTTGAAGTGAAAGTTGCAAGTCCTTCGGATGAGACCTTAAAAACCTAGGCCCCGTGTCACGGCAGGCATTGGCACGATAAAGATCCCTCACTGCTTAATGGCCGCCCTGAGTGCCGGGTAAAGGTCTAAATTTGAAGAACTTCACCGGTATATTTGACGTCTCTATATGAGTGAAAAATTCTCGGAATGGGACGAAAAACTATATACAATCAATCAATTTTAATACAAGACAATGCCACGTCATTCTTTGTTGTACTTTATCAGCAGTCACAGGTAAGTTTTTATCTGTATTCTGTCTATAAGTTCTGTCTCTTTTTCGAGTTCCGTGCTTGAATCGTCAATGATATTTATCCAGAAATAGTAACAGAGGATCTGCATTTTGATGTTTCCCAGTATCTCCATATCTAATGTCAAACTGGCAAGAGGCTAGTTGTAATGCAATTAAGAAGCAATCAAAATTTGAATGTCTTTCTTTGGTCCACATATGGTAGTTAAAGGTAATAGGATATTTCAGCACCCAATTCATATCTGAGGACATCATCAGCTAACTCCAGTGGTTTGTGAGGGTCATATTGAACCATCGCTTGAGAAGAAACTAACAGGTCTTTGATCTTTGCACAAACTTCAGAATATTCTTGGGTCCAGTTTGCATGTAACATCTTGAACCAACAGACGTGTGAGTGTTCCACTACGCGTTGGCACATTTGGGACAAATTTTTAATAATAGTTCACTATCTTCAACCATATCAGAAAATCTTTGGATCCCCAATGTTCATAATTGCTACGAGTTTCTTCGGTGACGGTTTAATTCTCTCCTTGCTCACAAAAAACCAAAGCACTCAACTTGGTCCTGTATGGACTGACACTTCGACTTTACACCATAATTGTCTAATCGTTGAAGCGTAGCTTCCAAAGTCTGTTTGTGTTCACTGTCATTAGCACCGGTACAGGTAACTAAGTATCCTTAAATTTGTACCCAACCTTTCCAAACCTTGAAGAATGGTATCATAGTACGCTGGAAATTAGCAGGGGGCTGACGCAATATACCAAAAGGTAAACGAGTATACCGACACAATCCTTTGTGGGTAGTCGCACACTTCCTTGACTCCTTATCCAAAAGTACTTGGTTATATGTTTGAGACATGTCCATCTTAGAGAATTTTTCTCCACCATTGATTTTAGTGAATAATTCCTCACTCTTTTGGATATCCAGATAATTATTGACTGTAAATTTGAAGTCATGTGCACCGATCCATCAACTTTCTTGCCATCAGCGGGTACTGTGGGAGCTGCTCAGTCCAAACACTTAACATACTCATTGATAACGGATAGTTCAAGTCTATCTAATTCCGTAGAAATCTTATCGCGCAATACAAATGGTACTGCCTGCTCGCGGCTTGAAGATTACCCTTGTTCTCTAAGGTTGCTCTCAGTCCTTTGATACATCCACGTTTTTTGTCAGACATAGAATACTTTTTCATGTCACCAGCCAAAAAATTGAATTGAATGCCTGTCTAGTTTTATAAATTTCATCCAATTCCTACCAAAAAAAAGCTGGTCCATTTCCCATAACAACAATAGGTAAAGAAAACTTCTGTGTCTGATCTTCACATTCACTTTCACTTCATCAATCTCTCCTAACATTTCTCCTGAATATGTCATAAGAATAGCATCATAAGGTTACAATGTTACTTTGTTCTGTAATTAAGTTTTGTACAGCTGTTCTGATATCACCATGACAGAAGCACCGGTGTCCAAGTCCATTTCAATAAATAATCTTCCAGCACATACCAGTTTACTGAATCTCGGGTAAAATCGGAATCGTTCAGCGATCCCAAGTGGTTTTTGGTTGCAAGTGGCAAAGTATCAAAGTTTTCAATAGCATAGTTTTATTCAGGGGATGTTAAATTACGAATGAGTCCATACTTTTTTTGTCCACAGATTGTCAATAATATAGACTTCATTTTGTGGTTCTTATCAATTTTATTGGCAGTAAAAATATTATTACCTTTCAATATACTCGTCCCAGTTCATTTTTGATTTTCCACTGGATAGTCTGGTATTTGCCGTTTTGATAACTTCCTAAATCTCGTCGACCATTGTTTTGTTTGTTTACAGGGTTTGTTGGAACAACACACTGTGACACAACATAAACACATGTAATCACTGCAAAGTATCACCTCTATGACTGTATGAAAAACAACACGGCTGCTTGCTAATACATAATATGGAAACATATGTTGGTAATTACATAACAACCAATATGGTTTGAACTCCGGATTCCAGTTAATGAACATGACAATCAGAACAAAATAGGAGGTCCATAATGGCACTATTAAATAAAGATTCTGTGAAAGTCTTATTAAACTGTATTCATTGGTATAGGAGGAGTATAGATAGGTACTACCAATGTTATTGAAGGAGTTGCATATCCAGATTTTGCTATGAGAAGCCCCACAAATCTATCCAATGGAAACGAAAAATAGGAGGTACACAATATCACTATTTAATAAAGATTATGTGAAAATCTCAGAATTTAATTTAGAGGTAAAGAAGGAATTGTGGATAAGAGATCAGTACCCTTAATGTTAAAGAAAGATTGTAGTGTCCAGCTTTTGTTGTGAGAAACCCAAAATATCTACATGTAACCTATCGAAACGCAAAATAGGAGTGCAGAATTGCACTCTATGTAATGAAGATGCTGTGAAAGTTTTATTTGATATTCAGTGTTAAAGGAGGAGTTGCAGACAAGAGATGGGTACCCCCTTCCAATTCTATTGAAAGAATAGCAGTGTCCATGTTTTGCTATGGGAAACCCCAAATATCTGTCTGATCGAAACGAAAATTAAAAGATGCACAATTCACTACGTAATAAAGATTCTGTAAAAGTTTCATTAAAATTTATTCATTGGTATAGGAGAAGTTGCAGATAAGAGATAGATACGTGTTACTGACATAAGGACAGAAGGACGTACAGACGGACACACCCATCACTTTATACCCCCGCTTTTCAAGTGTCGTTATGACACTATGTAAGATTTCAAGCTTTTCAAGCGGGGAAATAATAATTGAAAGATTAGCGATAAAATGAGTCATTTTAGACTGCGTAGAATAGCAGATAATGGGTGTCACATCGGGCGGTATCTGTCCATCTGTCTGGGAAGAGTGAGATATCTCACAAAAATCACACCACTGTTTATACATCTCAGTAAGATACAAACAATTTTTGAGTTTTAATGGTCAATTAAATTTCAAAATAGCCTTTGTGACGAAAACAAAATTTACAGCAATTGCATCGCGATCAATCCGTTCATACGAATCCGGATATATAAGTTATATTCTAATATAAGTAAAACATATCAGATTAAAATAAATAATAATGCACTGCTGCATGTTTCAAGTTATATTTTGTTTAAAAGAAAGTAAGTAAAGATAAGTGTTTTTCAATCTTAATAAATTGGTCAGAATTGTTCCGTCCGCAAGATACTGCATTAGTAAGGGCGAGGGAAAAAAACACAATTGTAATCTTTTAGCAGATTCTACATTAGCAAAGTGTGGGGAAAAAAACAATAGTAAGCTATAAGCATGTATAATTAAAACCTTTACCATTGAATTAAACTTTTAGTTTATAAGGTAACATATAATACGACAGAAAATTAGTTTGTATGCATAATTACAGAATTTCAAGTTAGCAATCAAAGTTAATCATCTATATATTCCTATATTTTTAAGCTTTGACAGTCTAATTATATTCTTTTTGATAGATGTTACAGTGGTTTTGAAAGATCGCGTCTTCACAAACAATAAATTCGCTTGTACCATACATATTGTTATTATTTATGATATATCTTATATACTGCTGTGGAATACCAGCAGTTGTCGCATTTGTTCCTTGAACTCTCTGGAACGATCGCACCGTCAAGTGTCCAATTGATATTTGATGCATTGTTCAGTATGAATGATGATAGGCTATAATGTCTTTTAGTAAACCTTGCTTTCTGGAGTATAATGAAATGTACCGGTTCATTGTACTACGCTTTTTTCAGTTTTACAAAATCTTGTAAAAATTTCAAATTTGGTGATATTATCAAAGCTTTAATATATGAACTTAATTTTTGATTTGCTGACATTTCCTTTCTTTCAAGACATTTTAAAATGTTTATCATAAACTTATCTTTTCCATTTTGAATATAAATAATTTTTCTGTGTTTCAACAATGAAATAGCATATTTGTCATTCGGGAATTTTGAAGAGATATGTAAAAACCGAAAAAATGTTACTCTTAGCAGAAAACATAGGAATACTCACCTACAACCATGTTTTTCTACTGCTTGAATGTATTTTCATAACACTTGTATGGTTCCACAATAACATAACGCGTCATAAAACAGGTGAAGAAATGATTTAATCGACATTGCATTCAGAATAAAAAAGAAAAAATCACACTGCACTTATCTAAATCATATTTCCTCTTTCCTTTCTGAATAAAGTGTTTTCCCATCCTGTAAACCTCTGGATCAAAATCATTAACTTCCCTTATTTATGTTCCAATAAACCATTATTGAGTTATTGTCTTCTAGTTTATTTAAGATCGGGAACATGTTTTATGTAGGAACAATTTCTAAAACGAAGTAAGCTATTGACAAAGAAGTTGATGATACACAATCTTGTTTAAAGTTATTTCGAAAATTCTATGGTCGATGCAATGACCTAGGCGGCAAATACAATCTTTTGTTGTGTCAAATGTTGACTAACGTCTTTCATACAGATTGTTAGGCCATTATTTTGCACTGAATTGTCTACGGATTTTTCCGTTTACCCGATCATGACAAGGAGCACTCGGCGGATGTGACCTGTCGACATGGGATGCTTACTCTTCCATGACACCTGATAATGTCTATTTTCAAAGATCCGTGTTTGCTCTGCTCAGAATTTGTATTGTTTAAATGGATTTTTGAGCATGATTACAGTTCGTTTTCTTCACATTTCGGTAGAGCGCTCGCTCCATGATCGGGAGGTCGTCAGTTAGAATCTCGGCTGCGACTGACCTAAGTCGATAAAAAATGGGTAGCAACTGTTCCTTCGCCATGCGCTCGGCACTTGAAGTGAAAGTTGCGGGTCCTTCGGATGAGACCTTAAAAACCGAGGCCCCGTGTCACGGCAGGCGTGGCACGATAAAGATCCCTAACTGCTCAATGGCCCTAAGTGCCGAGTAAAGGTCAAAATTTGAAGCCTTTCACCGGTATATGGTGATGTCTCTATATGAGTGAAAAATTCTCGAATGGGACGTAAAACAACACACAGTCAATCAATCATTCTTCACAATTATAGTTTATTTAAAGAACTTTTAGAAATTCTTTGGGAAAATACCTTTTTTGTCATGTTTTGATTCCTTTTTCATTTTTATAAAAGAGACAATTCATAGTTTTTCTAGGGATGGCAATTGAATACAGAATTGCTAATTGGTTAACCGCAAGACGTTCAGATCGATTAATCGTATTCAAATACATATTTTTCCTAGTAAACTCTTTTCATATACTCAAGAAAACTAAAAAAATGAAGTTAGTAATATTCTCTTAATGTTTGATTTGTACACTTTATATATTTATTTCAATCTCAAAAGTAAAAAATTTAAGAAAACCCTTAAATATCCCTGAGATATCAAAGATAATGATAATTTTTCAGACTTGATGTTACATAAGGCCATTCTGCATTGTCACCATTAACTGACTGTGAACATTTACTTACTTTACAATGCTTGTTTAAATATATAATTTTCAGATAACTGCAAAGAATATACGCGGATAAGATACACATTGTAAACATTACACAGTATTCCACGGTGATAAAATTAATATCATTTAAGAAATACAGAACAGGTTGAATAACGACACAGTGTTTCAAACCAATTACCACAAGATCGGAGAGCCTTAATTAATTACCATCAAATCAGCTCAAATGCATATGTGAAAATTATATAACTTATCAAGATTCAGGGTGTTTTTTTTTTTATTGTAAATGTATTTTTAAGGAAATTTTCATATATGAAATATGGAGATAACGAACAGTATTCAAGCTCAAAGTCCATTAAAACTATACAAATCGGGAGCATAGCAAACACGGACCTCCAAAATCAGAGGTAGGATGAGGTGCCATGGAGGAGTGAGCATCACCTACCGACCGGTCACACCCGCCATGTGCTCCTTGTCATGATCGGTAAATTACGGAAAAATCCGTCGACAATTCAGTGTGTAAATAATGGCCTAACAATTACTATGAAAAACGTCAGTCAGCATATGACTTAATGATAGATTGTATTTGCTGACAAGGTTATTGTATCGACTATAGAACCTACGAAATGATGACTTTAAACGCGACTGTTCATATTCTTGTTTCATCAACTTGATTGTCAATAACTTACCTTGTTTTAGAAATTTTTCATACGTAGAGTATGCTCTTGCGTATCGATTCAACTAAGAGATATACACCCCATATGAGGTGATAATGGTATATTGCTGCAAAAGTAAGGGAAGTTGACGATTGAAAAGTTAAAGTCATCACGTTTATTATAAAGCTTTGTTGTTAGATTACCATTAACGTCTTTTTCTAGTAAAATATCCAAATATGAAACAGATGTGTCTTTGGTATCTTTTGTTTCAGGGTCACTGGGATGTATCGTGTAAATGAAAATAAATATTGTAAATTGATTATACGTCGTCGATATATCGAAATGTCGAATTGAAGGCCACAGCAAGAGATTTCTTTTTCTCATGGAAATAAGCCATACTGGCTTTCATGGGCTATCCTTGGGTTTGGGCATATACAATATATTTTTTTGATTTATATGCAACATAAGATTTATTAGGTAATTTGTTTTAAAATTCATCTCTTAAATCATGTCTATTTAAAAGTTTTAATATGTATAATACTCACATCAAGTGTACATTGATGAGAGTAAATAAAGATGCATTGATATTGATTAAAAACTTATTAATTATGCTCAGTAATTAATGTAAAACTTCAGCGCGTTCAGTAAGGAAAACATACTATTACTTAAATGCCAGCTATCAACTTTGTATTGTGTTACAAAATGCAGACAATTTAACAACTGGTTATTACCTCGTACTAATTCTTTAGATGCCAGAAAGTATGACATGTCAAAACTTCTAAAAGACTTTGTTTAGATATTGATAACCATTCACAAGAGAAAGGAGTTCCGACGAACAATGATTTTGTGAGAACATATTATGCCATGAAACACCTTACTGTGTGTTATTCCTTTTTTTTTCTTTTTTGCAATGGGTACACACAGAGAGTGATTAAACAATCAAGTCGTACACAGTTTAGTATAATTGATAATCGATTTATTGCAGCTTATGATTTTAATATGATGTTTATAAGTAAATAACACTTATTTTGGACAAATATGTTATATCTTAAGTTTTCTTGTGGAATCTAAACATGTAAGCTTTTAGTTTTAAAACACTTTTCATTTCGCGTTTTGAAATTCAACATACTTAGAATTTTAACGCACTAAAACGTGACAAGAATGTGTTTAGAGATGTGTCTATTATTTAAGCACATTTTTACAGTGTAATAGACACCAACAAAAATTTTCTTTTTCCAATTCAACAACAACGTACATGTCCATCAAATGATATTGCTTGAAAAACAACTGCAATTTCTTATCTAAGCTTATGTAGAACAAATATACAGATGATAAGATGTTTAAATAGTCTAGATTTTTAAAAAAAGGATTGAATATAAAACTAAGGTAATTCCGCCCTCGTGAAATGTCATCCGTTCTTGTAAAATCTTTCATTCCGTGCCCAATAGAAATACACGTATATATTTTGGAAGATTTTTTAATAGGTGTAATAAAAATATTGTTTAATAAAAGAAATTTAAAAAAAAAATATTTTGCTATAATATGTGGGTTTTGTAATTGTTTTCTGCAATAGCTTCAACGTTAATTACCATAGTAACAAAAAGAGACATTTTATTGTTTATATATATGTTTGTATAAATAATCATATAAGTAAGAATTAAGAATTAATTTTTAAAGTACTTTAAATATTGCATGATTGATATGTTCATTATTGTATTATTCATTGATGGAAGAGCCACTGCTCAAAAAATAATTACAGATTTACCATGGTTTTCTTAAAGATATAACGGAGATAATATTCAGTGAATTGAAATATAATGCTTTTATTGCAAAATTTCCCCAGTATCCACAATTTATACATATTTTTAAAGTTACAATTACCTGAAACATTAGTCATTAAAAGAATGTCATTTATGCCAGTTTTCAGTGATTTGATCATGTTGTTTACCAAAGCTGGAGATATTTTTTTAACTAAAAGATACTTCTGTTTATCTTTGTCTGACATGGCGGCCTATACAATTTTTGTGATTATTAATTTTTTAAAACTATATTCAGTGGAAATTAAAGCAGTTTTTCAACTTTTAACCTATAGGAATGTGAGTATGGAATAACCATAAGATAAATAAGAGATACAACACTATGGCTGTTAAATATATATATGGCAGAACTGGAAGGAGGGCAAATACTCAGTATGCTTTGTATTTATTTTAAGAAAATCTAAAAAACTTCCAAATAATTCTACATTAACGCACCTTATATTTTCCCACGAATAACATATTCATTATACACTATTTATGTAATACTAGTGATCAGCCTAAATTTAAGATGAAACATAACTAAGACAAACAATATTGAGTGAGAATTGTCATTTATTAAATGACAATAAACATATAATAAAATTATAGTTAAGGGGAGGTTACTGGAATAATAACAGCAACATTTTTCTTAATACAAAGGCTGATAAAATTTGGCAATGGGATTTTCCCCTGTCACAAACAATCATTAGTCTGGCAGAATTTATTTGCCTAATAAAAAGTACACAATACACAAAGTTGTGAAAACAAAAACCTGAACTTTGAATTCCTATTTTTAAAATTATTTCTTACAAGTAAAATGGCACAAATTATAATAAAGTTGACATAAATAGTATTATACACAGCATTACAAAAAAAACCCCATCTAAAATGATAGTTCGTGGAGCATATGAAGGGGGTGGAGATTGGGTAAATTCTCTGATAAATTCCGTATCTTGTTGGCAACCAGTGAAGGAAGACTATCTTGTGTCAATTGATTCGAACAGTAACTGTTCTTTGGTAATTAATTTTCTAAAACACTGGAATTGTTTTCAGAACATACACCCGCACTGGTATTTCAGAGTCAACACTCATGTTTATATTTTCAATATAAATGTCTTTTCATGTCATTTCAAAGATTTACTGTAGCATCTTAATTAGAATATTGACTAGTTTATCTCTTTGGATATAAGCAGCACTTTAAAAAAAATTCTGGCGAGTTACATGAAAGATATACATGTAAATTTTTATCTTGCGATAAGGGTTGACTCATGATTTTAAGAGTTTTATTGCCTCCTAAATCTTACCTCTTTATGGTGATTGCTGCTGCTGCAAGAACAACAGCTGTACGGAAAACAGACACCCATACAGCTGTTCAAATTACATCTAAAATAAAAACTGAGGACTTATTTTATTTTCCCCAGCTGTTTCTATTCTTAGATAATCATAATCTACAAGGTTATTAAACTACAGATCTATGTCTTTTTAAGACGAAGAATATGATAAGGAAACTAATCTAAAAACTAACTAACTAAGGATAAGTTCGTGTTTGTCAACAGATTATAATACTTAAGGAGGTAAAATATATCAAATTTATACATGTTCTCTGAAAACTCAAAAAAAAAAAAAAAACAAAAAAAACAAAAAAAAAAAACATATTTATCTGTACGCAATACATCTGAAAACACATATATCAGAAAACGTTACATTGTCTTTCTTTAAAACATTCGAAAACGTATATATTTTGTAATGAAATTGACGTATAGTATATTTTAATCAATTTTGTTGGTGTAGCATACTGAGTATGGGAAAAAGGTGAAGATAACGAACAGTAATGGATAAAAAAAAAGCCCCAAAGCAATACAATTATGTAAACAGGGGAAAATCCAGAGGTAGGATCAGGAACCTAGGAGGAGTTAACATCCCCTGTTGACCAGTCACATCCGCCGTGAATCCTTTGTATTGATAAGGTAGACAGACTATTCCGCAGTCAAATTTAGTATAAAACAAATGTCTAACAATTGGTATGAAACACGTCAGCCAAAATACGTCCCAGTGATAGGTTATATTTGTTAACAATATGCTGACGTTAAAAGAGGTTTTTAAAATCCCTATAACATCAACTTATCTGTCAGTAGCCTATCATCGGTATAAAAATTGATCGTATTCAGAGCATTCCCTTGACCCTAACAAAAATTTGCTATAGTTAACTATAGTTTACTATAGTTAACTATAGTGAAAACTTTGATACTTTGATTTACTTTGAAACTTTACTCTAGAACTTTTTTTGAGATTTCAAAGCCTAAAACCTCTAAAATCCGATAACAGTAATGTAAAATTTGGAAATAATGTGTGAATATACAAATAATATTTCAATTCAATATATAAAAATGTGTAGGTGTGAATTGAAGAACAAAAAATATAACGATCTGAAATCCATAGTAAAATACTTTGATTTACTATAGTAAAAAACTTTGATGCTATATTAAACTATAGTTAATTATAGTAAACTACATGTATAGTTAACTATAGTTAACTATAGTACTTTTTTGTTAGGGGAGAATCGAATAAGTTGAGAGATGTAAACTCCTAATATAACTGCATAAATAAGAAAGTTGACGTTGGAAACGCAGAAATCTTGTTTGTCATACAATTTAATTGTTAGTTGGCCCTTATCGTCTACAATCAGTAAAACATTAAAATATGAAACAGATGTTGCAGATTTTGTGGTGTATTTTATTTCAAGTTAACTGGGAGATATCGAGTTGAATGTCGAATTGAAGGTCATAGCAAGTGTCTTCTTTTAAAGTAGAAGTTTTTTCTTAAAAATAAATTCTGCTTCATGGAAATGTAGACACAAGTCGGCTTATTAATTAGCAAAATTAATTCCCATCGAAATTTCAACAGTCTGTTGGAAGACCTGGTTTTCGAAGATCACATAAATGTTGCCAATAGGAACTCTAGCATCCTTTTAATACCAACTTCAGAGCACTTTTGTATAGAAAGTAATTTTTACAAAGCAATTTTGTTGATGACCAATTATTGGATAAAAAAATTCGAATTCCATTTTATTGAAGAAGCAGTTGTCTGTGGTATCATAAAGCCTACATGTAGTTTTTAATTTATCATTAGGAATGGCTTTATAAAGTGTAGAAAAGTCGCACCGTTTTGATGTTGTTGACCTTAGAAAAAAATTCTAAATGTTCTTTGGGGTTTTCAGAATCCACTTTTAATTTACACCATTTCTAGTTCGTATTTATCTTTATATTAAGTTTTCTTTAATATATTTTTCTGTTTAATGGCAGGAAAGAATTTACTATATAGTATTATTGATTACACAATAAAAATCTTTTTCTCTTTTTTGTGAAAATGGTAAGAAAATTGTCTTATTTAGAGGAAAGGTAACCATCCACTATGTCTAGAAATAGAGTTGAATAGGCCTTGTTAGTTGAATTTTAATCTCTGAGATCAACATTTATTGATTACAAATTATAAGAAGAGAGATATTGTGTTTAATGATTAAAAAACCGGAATACTTTCGATACAGCATAATATTTTCTTTTTTTAAAAGTACTAAATCGTCGAATTTCTCAGAATGAACATATATAACAATAAAAAAACATTCTAAAATAATCATTTACCTTCTTATTCATAAGAAATATCTTATTTTCACAACATTCCTTCAATTGAAGATTTTGAAAATTTAGATTTTCATAAAAATCGTATATATGAGGGACAGGATACAACACAGATAAAACAACATATGCTTGAAAAATATTTGTAATAAAAACATTGTAAAATCAAACTATCATTGTTCGTCATGTCATTTTTTCTATATGAAAATGCATTTTAAAACTAGTTACTTTACGTCGATCTTGTACTACTGTATTCAAAATTAATTCTCTTTTTCTCTCTGTATGAAAACTGAGCGTTATTAATTATTATGTTGGAGAAAATTTTCATTGATGATTTCATAATGCCCTTCATCGTCCTCTAGTGGCTTGTGATAGTCATCGTGATCCTGAGAACTAACTGACGAATTTGCTACAACGTCCAAGTACCCCTCACCCCTGTGTGGACTACTCTGATCCGTCCCCTTGTAACTACATGTAGACCCTGATGCTGAGGTCAATGATGCATCCGATGAATCTAACCTTTAATCATAAAGCAGTTACTTGTATATGGTAACTTTTTAAGTCAATATACGATAATCAAAATCATTTTATAATTCATAACACAGATTTTAAAATTTTTGACGCTATTTTTTCTTGTCAAACTTACTTGCTTGAAAACAGTGAAATTATCTCATCAACATGTGGACGACTGGTTCTGTCAAGGTCCCAACATTTCAACATAACTTCCTCATACAACCAACTTGGACATAGTTCCGGTTTTTCAGGAACATGTCCATCAATTAAATGTTCCAACAGCTGCTTGTTAAAATTTAACATAGTGTGATAGACTTAAAAAAAAACATATCTATAGATGATTAACGTTAGAAACAATATGGTACCTTAAAATAATTTAATCCCAAAATATTTTAAAAAATTGTTAAGTAATAACACTTTGTGAGGAAAGTACATTACTTTGTATTTCAAGAAGTTTTTTTGGTACATTGATAAGTTGTTAATATTTTATTGAAGAAAAAGGCGTGGGGTGGTAAACGTAATAAAATCCACATCAGCAAAGCAAATGTGGTGTCCTTATTTTTGTGTATTTGAATTATTTAACTGTTACATTTACCTTGGATTTGTGTTTGTTCCCAAATGGCACACAGTCTAGACGATCCCGGCCAGAGAGAACGGAGAAAACTTCATAGAAAAGCATTGCCATCGTGTAAACGTCACTGCCACACGATAGTTCGTTGTGTCCGATTACTTCCTTGGGAAGCCTTAAAATATTAATGAATGCATGCTTTATTTAATTTCAAATTGCCAAATGGTTCGGGAAATATTTGCCTTTTGATTAAGTTAACTTGCTATTCAATGATATTGATCCATGTGAAAAAAAAAAAATAGGAAACAGTTATTTAGTTTTTCCATTCAGATTTTAATCAATCTTAGGAGAGTAAAATGAGTCATTTTACCAATATAGCATGTCTTGTAGGTCCTGATTGACTATAATGCTATCTTCTTGGATATCACATTCTTGTGGCAAGCTATGCATCCTGCCAATTCTAACCATAAGTGCCTGAATATAAGCATACAGATTTTCCATATTTCTGAATGAAGTAGAAATTAAAGCATTTGACCTAACATCATAATGCTCTTTCACAGTAATTATTATCAACGAATGCTTTACATTTTCGGATTTCACATTGCTTTTTGGAATACCTTTGGTATTTCTTGCTTGTCAACAATAAAAACATATTTCCCAGTCAAATCTACCATTAACCACTTCATGTTATGGATTTGTTTAACAAGCTTGACCACCGCAAACAACAATCTCAAAAGAGTGTTTATGTTTTCATCTTTTGAATTCTTTGACAGTTCTTCAGCTATGTCCAAAATCTTAGAACTTGAAGGAAACGTATATTGCTGAAACGAAAATTATCTTGTTAATCTATAAAAAAAACTTGACAGTTTTACCGAGATGCAATTCGATAGAAAACAAAGTATGAAAATAAAACTCCTTACGATTGTCATTTTTGCATCTGTGCTTGATGTACATCTACGGATTTTCTTTACTGGCCATTCTTTTAAACCCAGATTTTCTGCCATTGTTTTACTTAATTTTGGTAACACTTCTTCATAAAAAGTATCAGATACTAATTCTTCAACGATTATGGAATTTCTCTATAAATAAATAAATGAAATATGATAATATAACATGCATCCATATCATTTCAATATTTGAGACAAAACCTTTACCTCGTTTCTTATTTTGAAATCCTCCCTCGACTCAAGGTCTTCTTTCCGCAAATTAAACTCCAAAGATCTCCTTCTGCCACACATGCTTGTCCTCAAATCATTGTAACACATCTCAAAATCTTCTGAACTCATAAAACATGATGCATATAAAATAAAGATACTTAAACTTTAATTTTTTAAATTGTCTGTTAACAGTAATGCAGTGAAAAATTGTTAACATTGTCGAGAAGCATGGGAAAATACTGCATTGCCTATCGACATGTGTAATAAATGGTATCTGTTTCCTTTCATTCGAGTACTATAGTCCCTTTTGCATATCCAATACAAATCATATTTATGCATGTTTTTGTACATGGTAATTCTATGTTTAAGCTTGATTTTATTTGCATTATAACCTTTTCCACCACTTTTCTGTTGTTTTTCCATGTATTTCATGAAAAATATTTATTCACAATTAACTTTGAAAACGTTATTTGAAAAAAATGGATATTTTAATGAAGCAATCTTTCCTTAAACGATTTTTTTCTAAAACTGTTAATTTGAGAAAAAATATTCATACCTGCGCTCGTAGTTGCTTTTTCTCGTAGCAAGTTGATCACATTTGGAATTCCCTATTTATATATTATCACGCTAAACAAATATGTTTAATTTCAAAAAAGTTTGCAGCATTCTTTTCATCTTATGAAACAGTGTACAAAATTTTCAAATCGTTTATCAACAAAAAAAAAAAAAAAATACTCTTTCTGGTTTGTGTTCCCTCTTCAGCTGCTTATCCCCAATGTGTGGTACAGTATCACTGCCAATATCTATAATACAGTATCACTGCCAATATCTATAATACAGATTTGTAGTGTTTCTTTCAGGAAGACGGAATTTTGCTTATTTTATGTCTGTCTTTCAGTATAAAGTCGAGCCTCGTTCATCCTGAAGCCAATATTCCGGACACAACATTCCGGGCGAAATTTGCTTGGAACAAAATACATTCACATACTTTATTCATTTTATACTATATGTTTCGCTTAATTCATCCGGCCCATTTGCTTCGGAACACAAGCATCCGGATTCACGTGGCTTGACTGTATTTGGGAATAAAATTATATTTTTTCTTTGGGCTTTGAATAACAAATGATAAATTGATAATATCGATAAAAGCCGATCTTGGTTTGAAAGGCCTTACCCAAACTTCTCGAAGACAATTGATCTCTTCTTAAAATTTGTATTTTTTTTTCAACCTCACACATGAGGGGCCTTTTCTCTGGGTTTGTGTTGAAACATTGTCTTGAAAGAATGTGGAATGCATGCGGTATGCATTTCCATTTGTATGGTTTGAGCTTCCGTGTAACAACCTGTATGTAGCAACAGACAACTTTATCAGTATGATAAAAAAGTACTGATAAAAATAAAGATAAAGCAAGGTAATTCAAATATTGTTTGTAGATGCAGGTTTTACCCTTATGATGACATCTTCAGTGTTTTCGCTGTAAAGATCCGTATATGGTTCACAACCATATGTAAACATCTCATGTATCGTATGACCAAACATCCAGACATCTGTTTTTGAGTCATACTTGCCATGTAGTATAGACTCAGGAGCCGACCATCGGATAGGTATCCAATCCCCACTGATCACTGTAAATTTTAAACTGTTATTTATCATTTTAGAGGAAACTATTTCAAGGAATAAATACCGAAGTGGTTTTATTTCAAAAAACATTTGGAAGAACGACTCGTGCCCCCCTCTTACTACATGTACATCAGTAAAACTCGGCTATAAAAATAACTCATTTTATTAGGAACTTTTTACAAATCCCGTAGAAGATTTCCACTAAGTTTTTTTTATACAGATATAAACAATCCCTGTTATTAGGAAGCAGAATTCGAGTTCACAGTGACTTCGTTATAAACGAGTTTTACAGTAACAGTAAAGATATTTGCTATCAGCATCAAATAATTCGACTTCAAAATCTGAATCACTTCCGAATTTCGCCATAAAAAAAATCATTCACTGATGAGAAATATATGACAAATACCTTGGGTTAAGCTGAGAATATTGGCAAAACAGTTATTTTTACCCAAAAATGGTGACAAGAAAGCATTTTTTTTCAATGACATTGTTATCGCTTTGAGCCAAAGTGGAGTGATTACCCGACATTAGAAATGACGAGAACCATAGGCATGCATTGAATATAATCTGCCCTCTTGTGACATTTATTACCAATCATAATCGACAGTTTTGCTATTAGTTTGAGATGGGAACAAATATACCTGCAATATGCGCGCCAGAAGAGGAAATGTCGTCTGTTGTGCTATGAGCAAGTTCCAGCTTTTGTAACACAGCCATGCATTTACCTGACGTCAGACACGTTTTCAAACAGAATGAATGCAATGCGATATCGCGATGGACAATACGCTGTGAATGCAGATAGGATAAACAGCTCGCCATCTCATGCAAGCGTTCGTACATCCATGATAAAGGTAGCCACTTGTGGGATCTTCTTGCTTCCAACAACCTTTCCAACAAGCCTTGAGGATGATTTTCAATCACATAAAATGGCAAAGGCAAGGCAGGGGAACCGAACGCCAAAAGTTTCGCTATGGAATTATGTTTAAAACCTTTCTGCATAGAGAGCAGAATTTTAAACTCATTGGTTTTGCGCATATGCTTTGACTTTGCTTCATCAGTGTGGTCATTAATTTTCAGATTTGAAATATCTGGAATCAAAATTGAAATTGTAACACTGTAATGATACAATCTGCCTCCACGGATGGACCAGTAGTACTTGTCGTTTGTTTTACAAAAGATTTCCCTATCTTTGTCATGTACATGCAGTCCTGGCACTGTATTCCTAATATTGGCCTCTGCTAACTCTCGAAACTTTGTTTCCGATAAATCTAAAGCTTCTACAACCAACTGCAAAACTGGATGACCAAGAGTAAAAAGAAGATCGTGAACTTCGTCTGGAATCGGCAGAAAAGACCATTTAGCATGGAAACCTTGGGAACATATCTTTAAAACTTCTAAGAGCGTCCGGAAATCTTCACTTCTTTCATCAACTAAATAAAACGAATGAAAGTAAGCATAAGCCAACGAATAAGATTTTTATAATGTGAACACAAACTTGTATATATAAAGATAATATATATTTAAATATATAAGTTGCTTTAATATTTTAAAGCGATCTATACTCAAATTGTCAGAAAAAAAATTAGATAAAATACTTTACTGTAAAAACTAATTGATAATATAACCTCTGTTAAACACATCCGATATTCCGGACAGGATTAGTTCTCTTCCACCTGATTTTATATATATATATATATATATATATATATATATATATATATATATATATATATATATATATATATATATATATATATATATATATATATATATATATATATATAAAGCAATTTACAGTCACATTTTCAGAAATATGTAAATAAATAATTTCACTGTAAAATCTAATTGATATAACCTTTGTTGAAAACATCAGCTATTCCAGTCAGGATTAGTTCTGTAAGAGGATGAAATAACTCATTATGCCACTTCCTCTCCACCTGACGATGATGACAACAATATGTTGCTCGAAGAAACTGCATGAAGTTACTGAGAAACAACGGTGGATTTGTTGCCAACTGAATACCAATAAAACAACTAATTAAATAATACCATTTCTACTGATATTTTCGATTATCTTTAAAGCTTTTAAATTGTTTTATGTGGGAAATCATAAAACCATTTCCACTTTATTTTTAGTATGTAACTCTAGTTGGTACACTGATATGTTGAGTAATGGTTCAAGACCTTATTTAATATACGATCTCATGTTTAGTATTTAAATTCAGCAATTGAACACTGACATGATTTTTATCAATCATCATACGTTACTTGAAATCTTGACCATTTTCCCTCACTCTCTTCTGAAAAGCAATTCACTTCGACAACGAATTGACTAGAATGCACAGGAAAACGGTTTTATTGACTTAGTGCATAAGCGTTAATTCTTCTACCTTTATCCATTGTTGTTGTTTTTTTTAACACTAACTTGATTGACACGAAATTTAGAATTTAGAAAGAAGATACCTTTGAGATCAATCCAAATGCGAGAATGTATTGTTCGTGGATCTTCAGCTTTGCTAATTCTTTGTCACTGTCTGATGTTGAAAAGGCATCTTCCCAATTTCCAAGAATTCTCATTAGAGTATCACTCAATTTAAACTTTTCAAACTTTGATAGGAAATGCACTATACAATTAATAGTTTTGTGGATCCTCATATTTTCCTTATGCCAGTGTTTTGTTAATTTCTCGGCATACTCCCTTAATTGTGAGATTATTGGAGATATTATTTGAGACGTCTCCTTCCTCTCTGATTTCACATAACAAAAGTGTATGGAAACAAATGATATAACACACAAAACAACGGGACATATAGAAAACCACAAAACTTGGGGTGTGTCATCTGACATCATCAACACTAAGATATTTTGCAAACAAATTTCCAGAGATTGAATTTCAACCATATCAATCTTAAGCTTCAATAAAATTGATTTCAGGAATTTGAGCGTAGTGGATTGTATGTCTTCATCATCACATGTTAGTAAACTGGACAGGCTAGGTATGTCCTCTTTTTCTTTTATGTGGGGCAACAGTTCGGTTTGAATTATTTTTATGATCTCTGTTCTTTGGTGTGGTTTTGACGTCTTCAGTTTTTCAACGTAGTCTCCGATGTTATGAAATTCATTACATATTCCTGAAAATATAAGAATTAAATACTTTTAAAATAACCATCAAATGGAAAGAAAAATCATTAAGCAATCAAGAAAGGCAATAATGAAAAAGATCAATCTCATAAATGTTATAAACAATGCAAAATTATGAAGAGGGGATAAAATACGGACCCCAAGAAAATCCAAAGGTAGAATCGGATGCATAAGTGGAATAAGCATCCCCTGTTGACCGGTCACACTCACCGTGAATCCTATGTATTGATCAGGTGGACGGGATAATCCGTAGTCAGATTTAGTCGACAGATGCTCACTTCTCCATGGCACCTGATACCACTTCTAAATTTTGAGGTCCGTGTTTGCTCTGCTCCAAATTTGTATCGTTTCACTGGACTTCCGATATTGAATACTGTTCGTTATCTTCATATTTCATTAGTATAAAACAATAGTCTAACAATTGGTATGAAACTTATACATAAAAAATCCGACTCATTTGGAGGATGTATTTAGAAATAAAGTCATTTTAACGATTAAACTTTCAAAATTCTGACTTAAACGAGATTGTTGAATCCCTGTAACAACTTATTAGTCAGTAATCTGCCTCGATTTAAATATTAAAGAACAGGCTCTTGCGTATTGAATAATCTGGGAAACACAAACACTCAATGCAGATAACAGTTGAACATTATTCGTAAGTTAGGGAAGTTGACGACGAAAAAGCTGATGTTATCCCTTTTGTCATAGAGTGAAGTTGTAAGTTGGCCATTATGGTCTATTATCAATAAAACATACAAATATGAACAGATATTGGCGTTCGCTGGGATATATCGAGTCGGTATATGAATGAAAGTAAGTATTGCTAATAAAACGTCGTCGATATATCTAAATGTCAAATTGAAAGTTATAGCAAGAGTATTCTTCTCATCATGTAGGAACTTTGAAATAAATTTTGATTCATAGGAATGTTAAAACAGATGGGATATTAAAGGACAACAATGAGTTGCCATATCGGAATTATAACAGTTTTTTAAAGAACTGAACTTTATTGACTACATAAATATTGTCAATGAGGAACTCATCCAGCATCGATATCCTTTTAACATCAACCCTAGAGTACTTGTGTGTATGATCAGAATAATTTTAACAAAGTAATTTACAGATAAACAATCACAAGACTTGAAAATTTGCAGTATTGGGAGAAGCAATTGTCTATATCAAAAACCGCCAGAAATGGTTGTATAAAGTGTTAAAAATAAAATCTTACGTTTTCACCGTTTTGTTGTAACTATCTTTAAAAAAAAAAGTGATTTTAAATTTTCTGAAAATTCTTTGGAGTTTTTGATAATCCATATTTAATTAACACAACTTCTTGAATATGTTGTAGCGCAGGACGTCTGAAGTTTCTCCTTCACACAGTTAATATTTTTTTGTGAGGAGTAAAGACAGGGGCTTGGTAGAGCATTTACTGGCCCCTGCAATGTTTCTTTTTTTTTTGTAAAGATTTCTACAAAATTAAGGAATTAAGTATAGCTAGGGTAAATCAAATTCCCTTTGTCGACTGGAATGTTAAAAGTATAAAAGACTGAAACGCTATTTTGAAGAATTTCACTCTTAGAAAGTTAACTGTATACTAATATAATCACAAACCTGGCTTGTATATTTTGCAGTTTAGAAATCCAAGTATGGACTTGCCTTAATTAGCTTCTTCAAATAGTTCCTAAGTAATTTCATCGCATTCACACTGGCACATTGTTAACATTACATATGTGGTCATTGTAACCATATGGGTATAGAGCTCCTAATTTCCTGATCCAATATTCACATCGTCTACGGAATGGAGTACTTAAATGGGACTACTTGCTGGATCGTAGATTTACCCCCAAAGTCTAACCCTCATTGAAAGAAATGAGTAGTCAGCCGAATTGAAATGCATATTTGACGTATTTGGCTGCAGTCTTTGGCACGTATATATATTTAATTGCTGTGGTAAAATTTAGAAATTTATTTTAAAATCAAAGATTATCTCCCTGATGCATAGCTCTGATCCTTAGACGTATTTGTCTCCAGTCTTTGGCACGTTTTTTTTTTTTTTTATTTTTAGCTCTTCATATCCTTTTTATTTAAATATTTTGGATTTCCAACGTTTCGGCATTAGCATCACTGAAGAGACATAATTTGTCGAACTGCGAATCTGGTGCATCAAAATTGGTACCGTATATGATTTACACAAAGATGCCGAAGAGCCCATTATCTAACATATGCCCCGACATTCTCTTATGGAATGAACTCTTCTTTTACCCAAGTAATATAAAGCGTATCACGAAATATTAAAAAGAAATAATGAATGACATGTTTTTAATAATTTGGACTTTCTGTTTTTAAATACGAACTCGTAATGTTTTAAAATTTTACTTTCATGAGAGGTAAAATAAAGATTTCTTGCCTTCGGCTTGCACTATGCTTCGGAGTATATTTGGTTCATCAATCCCCTCCTTTTCAAATGTTTTAACGCTCACAAAATCGTCTTGTTGTAAGTCCTCGAGACTTGGAACTCTTGAACAACCACTGTATCCCGAACTCGAAGATGAATTGGACTCAAGTAAATTATCGTTTTCCACAACCTTTGTTCCAACCTCTGTACTTTCATGTGAAGCGTTACTTGCGTCCATTTTACTACTGTTCAACAATCTGAAAGATTGATATAAAACTTAGAGTACAGAAAGAATATGATTCGCTGGTGTGTAATTATTTCCTATCAATTTTAACAAGACTTCCTTAAGAATATGTAAGTACATAGATATGCAGTTGCTTAACTTTATTTTTCTATCCTGATAGTTACATGTAATATTATCTTGATTACTACTTGAGGCGTTTTTGTTTATTTAGTATGTAAGGAGAAAATAATGGCGTAAGTTTAAGGAAATATTTTCCACACAAAAAGTAAATATCACATTTAAAAAAATTTTAAACCATTCATATAAAAAATAATAGTAATTTTTCCTGCTTCACTGTACCACAATTATATATCTCATTCCTTTCACAATTTTTTTCGCTATATATGATCATAATGCATTGCAAAGGAACATTTCAAATATACAATACGAAAAATTGAAAATTAAAGAAATAGAAGAACGTGTAACAGCAATATTCTTTCAAAATACATATTATATAAACCTATCATTCATTATTATTATTTAGAAATTTGTATTTTTAAAAAAAAGTCAAACAAATCTACCGATTCCAAACGCATGTGAGAATCAGCAGTTCATGCAGAGAAATAAAATTTGATTTTTTAAGGGGGCCGACTGGGGTTTTCATTGCGCAATACTTCGCGCAGAACAGTAAAATAAAGCGTATTTACTCTTTTAAACCAACTATTTTTACATAATTTATAAAAATTAACAAAATTAGGAAATCTCAGGTTAAAAAATCTAATTACGTTTTTAAATAACTGATTTTTTAAAACGATTTTTCAAATGATGGGTAGATAGACGTAGTAATAGTGTGTTTTTGACGTTATGAATAACCGCAGTTCTTTAAGAGGGGTCGTGAATTATGTCAAAAAATAAAGATATAAAAATAGATGCTCTTGAAATTTAAAACATAGGAAATTGAGAATCTCAAAATCATTTTTATGTCTTCTAATGCTTATAGGCAAGCTCACCGCAGCTAGTTTTTGCTAATTTTGTACAAGTCAAATAAAACACTTTCACAGAGATGAATAATGTCATTTATCAAAATGACGGTATAAACATAAACAATTTTTATAATTTTTTATATAAATCTGTCTTGTTTTGTAGTACTCCATAAAAACAGGAAAAAAATCATGAATTTTGAGACGCCCGCTCTGCAAACCAGATGGTAGAATTTTGTGTTTTTTGCATAAAATGTACAATATAGTATTACTCATCAAATAGTATAATTTGAACAAAAAGTCTATTATAATAGTAGCATTTGTAAAATTTGCTCCGAAGTGCGAAAAAATAGTATTTTCCTATATAATCCTATAGTAAATGTACCTGTATTTTGAGATGGTCCCTAAAAAATAACCAGACGGTAGATTTTCACTAAACTTGGCGTGTATACTGAAGTCAATGAAAGGTACATATGGTATAAAATTAAAGAGTTTCTCTATAGTAGTTTTCACTCAATAAAACCCCAGTCGGCTCCCTAAAACGCATACTAGTATATCATTCGTTTTATTTAAATGTTATAAATATTTCGTGCATTTCAACAGCGCTTTCAATTTATGCAATGAAATTGCATTATTTCATTGTGAAATTTAGATTGGTACAATTCAATCTTTTTATTAGAATGATCTGTCTTTATGATAAATTGACACCATTGATCAACTTCAATATACATTATGTGGAAATGATTCCATTTTGATTGAACAAATGTATCATTGTTTTTAAGATTAAAAAAATTCCCTTGTATATTCCAGAGAGAGAGAGAGAGAGAGAGAGAGAGAGAGAGAGAGAGAGAGAGAGAGATCTATACTTTTAAATTTAAAAAAAATTGCAAATAAACTCCGAGACACCTGCATGCACCATAGTTCATACTTAATCCTCTATTATTCCACTAGATATGAGATGATGTCCGTAAACTATATTCAGATTTCATTCGCATACTAATCATAGTAAATTTAATTAAAAGTCTACTTTCATTTTCGAAAAAACAGTCGTGAAATAGCAAAAAAGAGAGTACGGTGGTGGTTATGGTTGGTGGATCTAAGTTACTGGCAATTTTTAGTGAATCTGACGACAAGCAATCGTTTATAATAATTATTTGATAAAACGTCACTCATGATTTATACAGTGAAAACCTGATACAGAAGAAATGTTTTGATTTAAAAAAACAAAATGTGCTTTTCTCCAGTATCTGATCTTAGTTTTATACGTCTACATTCCCATGGAAAATTCTAGAACCTCAGATAGCATCGAACCATAAAAGGATTTTAACATTTTTTACAAAGTATTTCGAAATTTTCCTGCTAAAAGCCTGCAATTAATTGTCAGTATAAACTATGATGTACATGTATTACTGGAATTATTTCGTCAGCATTGATAAAGTTTACGGCAACGACAACAACAAAATGACCCTCTGTCAATACTGTCTTAACATCGGCTCAAATAATTATCAATTTATAATGAAACAAAGAGCGAATAATAAGGTAGAGCTTTTGATAAAGGGCTTAATACAAGGCAAGTTCAAATATGCGTTATTAAACACATTTCAAACGGAGAGGTAGACCATTTTTAATGTTAATTCTTTCTTGTAAATCTTACTGTGATATGATCCGTAGCTTTTATATGAAATATGAAGATAACGAACAGTATTCAATCTCGAAATACCAATGAAACGGTACAAAGAACTATATGCGGTATATGCACATTTTTGCCCCCACAAAAGTCATATTTTGAAAATTTCTTGAAATGTGCTGAATTGTATATATTGTGTGAGAAATCTAAATTAACAAAAAATATTATAGTTTCGAAGTAGATTATTGGCAACTTTTGTTTCTATGACGTCACAAACTATTCGGATTTTGTGTTATTTTTCAGAAAAAGGAAAAATGGACAAAATTTGATCAATTTTTACTATAAAATTTATAGAGCGCAGGCCTGCTCAAGAACAATATTTACATATTTCATTGATATTATCATTCTACACATTATATCAAAATATTGAGTTGGAGCAGACCTGCGCTCGGTGACTTTTACTCAAAATATCGACGTAATATACACTTTTTTCTGTATAAATCATGGAAATTTTGAATTTACGTCATCTTTCTGACGTCATATCTAACATATGGCGTCATGGCTTATGAAAATATTCAGTGCTTTGAAGTCTGCAGATATTCCCCTGTTTTAGAACATAATTATATATTTCTCCGTCAAAGTTTGATTTTGGGGGCAAATATTGCTCATTACCATATATAGTCCTTTGGAGCAGAGCAAACACGGACCTCAAAATTTAGAGGTGGGATCATGGAGGAGTGAGCATCCCCTGCCAACCTGTCACATCCGCAGTGTGCTCCTTGTCATGATCGAAAAAAGACAGAAAAATCCGTAGACAGCTCAGTATATAAATAATGGCCTAACAATTAGCATGAAAAACGCAAGTCAGCATTTGACTCATTGATAGGTGTATGTGCAGACAAGGTCATTGTATCGACCATAAAACTTACGAAATGATGACTTGAAACGAGACTGTTGATATTCTTGTTTCATCAATTTTTTTGTCAATAGTTTGCTTCGTTTTAGAAATTGTTCGTACGTAGAGTATGCTCTTGCGTATCGAATCAACTGAGAGAAATAAACCCCATATACAGGTGATAAGGGTTTATTGCTACATATAAGGGAATTGATGATTGAAAAGTTGAAGTCATCACGTTTATCATAAAGCTTTGTTGTTAGGTTACTATTAACGTCTTTTTCTAGTAAAATATCCAAATATGAAACAGATGTGTCAAACTCTATGATATATTTTATTTCAAGCTCACTGGGATATATCGAGTCGACATATGAATGGAAGTAACTATTGTATATTGATAATACGTCGTCGATATATCTAAATGTCGAGTTGAAGGCCACAGCAAGTGTTTTCTTCTTCTCGTGTAGAAGTTTTGGAATAAATTCTGACTCATATATATGAATACAAAATTAGGTCTGCTAATATCTGGGTGCAATTGGTACCCATGGGAGTTCCAACAGATTGTTGGAAGACCTGATCTCCAAAAACTACATAAATATTGTCAATTAGAAACTCAAGCATCTTTTTAATATCAACTTCAGAGTACTTTTGTGTACAATCAGAATGCTTTTTAACAAAATGATTTTGCAAATGACCAATGACAAGGTAAATATATTTACTAATTCCATTTTTATCGAAAAATATTTTGAGATAATATTTGGCTAACAGATATATCTTTTTCTTTGCCTAATTTGTGTAGATTCTGATAACTACGGCATTTCAAAGGTCAGGTCTCATGGGCAAAATAAAAATGGGGTCAATTGAGATTTGGGGACTTCGAAAAATCTATCTACGTACGAAGACGAAAAAATATTGTGATGGAAAATACCGTTTACAGAAATAAATTCAGTTATGAATTGGTTGGAAAAAAACACAGAGGCGTAGTTGGTCAGTACGTTTTGCATGTTTATCTTGCAGCAAAACGCGTCTTTCGACTTTTTCTCTCGATAACAAATATTTGTTAATAAAAATGTTTGTGTAATGCATTATATCTCGATGTGGCTGTCGAAATTAATGGACATTTTCATAATAAAAAAATTCTAACATTTATTTACTATTGTTTACCTTGCCCCGGGATCATGAAACAACTTAGACATAAGTCAAAAATTTTAATTTAGTAAATGTTTATTACTTGTGAACTGAATCTCTTAATTTGCATATTACAGTCTATTTGACGCAAAGTTAAAATGCATTTTAATTTTGGACTGCTTGATTTCTTAATCATTTCAGTGCAATATACATGGCCCTGCTATACTTGTAACTTAAGGGTAAGATGAGCTTTGTGTGTAGTTTACACCTCATAACAAGAATGAAGGGAATTACCCTGCATTTTCCATCTGAATTTCCAATTGAATGACTTTTAGCATGGTATCCAGGAAGTTCTTTTTTAAATCACCAACTATTGTTTCTTAGATATCGCGGAAAATATAAGA